CTTTAAATTGTTGTGATTTATGTACTTATATTGTTTTAATTTTAAACTTAATAGATTATATGATTTTAAATTATCTATATCTTTCTCTAATATTGTCTAATTTATCAGGACAACAAGATGTCCTAATCTTATCCTAGTTTTGTCCTGCTTCCTAACAGGACGGGATGACTTTCAGGACAGGACAAGACGAGATACATGACAGGGGTGTCCTGACCCTGTCCCAACTCGTGAACACCCCTATTGGGGATGACATTACATCCATAATTGAACATTCATAAAAAATCTAGTACAAATGAGAAGAAAGTTCACTACAAGACCGATGCAAATGACAAATAACTAGAGTCGAGAATATGAGTCCGGTTATGTGGGTTGGCCCAAATAATCAATTATAAGGGTTAGGTTGGGTTAGAAAAAAATTTACCCAAATAAAAATGAGTTTTTTTTATCTACACCATGTAACCCGTGAGTCATATGAGTTAACCCTGATGGGTTAAGGTTGACTTATTTAACCCATATTATTTTTTTAAAAAAAGTTAAAAAAGAATAAAGGGAAAAATTTTGTGGATATAAACTATATTAGGCATGACTTATTTAGTCAGATCAATTTATATATTTTGTACAAACATTATAAAATAATATTTGGGTATATCTACAATTAACATTATAAAGTCTAATTCAAACTGAAATTTAATCCTAGACAACAAAACTGAAACATAAATGAGACAAATAGTGAATTGTTAATGCCCATCCCTTTAAGGTTTCAACCATCGACAGCCTGAAATAAAAAAATAAGAAGAATTAATTAAATCAACCTAACTACAATAGCCAAGGATAAACAAACACAAAGAACAAAACTAGAAAGAAACACAAAACTAGAGAATCCAATAATAGCAGAAACAAAATGCCAAAAGATGCAAAAAATAAAGAAGACATTAACCAATATTCAAATCTTCTAAAACCCAATATTTCAACCATTTTGAATCTAACAGAGTTTGAATACAAACTACACTTCTGTCTAAAGACTACATCTAAAGTCTAAACAATTTCTAATCTTTGATTTAAGAGAGTGAAAGAGAAGCAGAGATCTGGCCAATACTTGCCCAATCTTCTAAGAGAAGAACCCAGGCTTCAAAAAGATAAACTTTAGCCTTTAAAGCTCTATTGACACATGATATGAAGGAAGATGTTGAGAGCTTGAGAAGAAAGGAGATGGCGAGATGGAGGGAAATGTTGAGATGAGAAAGCATAGATCAATTTTCAATCCCTCACTAAGGCCGAACAATGAGCCTATATTTTTTAGTTAAAGGGAGGTGTCGAGATAGAGGGTGGGATGATGCTATTGAGTCCTAGGCGGCGGACGGGTGGTGGCGGTAATGGTGGTAATTGGTGCGATTGTGTAAGATTGCAAGAAAAAGACAGGGAGACGGTTGAGAAGTGAGAAGTTAAGAATTGAGGACTAGAGCTAAAGAGTGAGGAGTGAGGAAGGGATATTAGGGTTTCATTTCAAGTTCCCAATGCCAACCAACAAAAATGACATCGCTTTTATTTTTTTTTATATATATATATATATATATATATAACCTTAGGTCGAGCAAGGCTAATTGGCTGGATACCTCAACCTTAAACCTTGCCCAATTCAAGGTTCAAGCTCTGCTCGACCATGCTCATTTTTTTTGGGCGAGTTTTTTAAGCGTGAGTAGGGTAAAAAACCAATCAGGCCCATCATTCAGGCTTCTTGCACAGCCCTGGTCATAAGTTTCAATTTCTACCATTAATGGAGATTGTCATTATTGGAGATTGAAGGAGACAGAGGTGGTTGAATGTCATGAGATTAAGGGAGAATGATCCAAATCTTCTTAATTGAGGAAGAAGGTCGTGAGATCAAAAAGGAGACTGATATGGTGATGAAATGAAAGAGATCACTGGCATTGAGGAACTTGCTAACTCACCACTGTCAACAAAGGAGGCTATTGTTGACTTGCTGTTGAGATAATCCAAAAGTGAGTGAGAATTCCAATAATAGGAAGGTTGATAAGAAACGGTTGACCAGAGAGGGAGGAGTAAAAATTTAAAAATGGAAGATGGAATTTAAAAACTTGGGTTTTATTTGGTGGAATTGGAATTGAAAAAGTTTCCAATTCTATCATATCAAACAAACACTTTCCTCAATTTTATTTTCATTTTCATATTGATCCTACTCATTTCTATCATACCAAACGTACCCTTTATGTTATGACACAAAAATGCTCTGACTTCTAGTTTTCTCTTCTAATTTTTTTTTATTTATATTTTCTTTCTATGTCAAACGGAGGGTAAGGTAATAGATTGACGTTAAGTTTATGATTCATTTGCATCAGAATTAAAAATTTTGCTTGCTCTACAAAGCCATGTTACTTGTTGGGGATAAAATACCTTACATAAATTTGTCATGTAAAGCATCAAGTTGTTATATTGATTGCACACATGAATCCGTTAAATTCCCAAGTTGTTATTTATTATTTATAGTCAATTTATTTAATAAATTTTCATTGTTTGCTAAACAGTAAACACACAAGACGGGTCAAAGCTACATCAGTAGAAATAAAAACACAGAGAAAAAGTCACCCACCAAAAACAAACGGTCAAAATGAATTTCCCACAGCTGATGAAAACAGATTTGGACCTTCATCAAGCGCTGCTGGTGGTCACACAGTATTGTGACTTTATGAGAGATTGGTCATAGATTGAATCCTTGCCTTAACATCGAACGATCAAAGCCTCTGGTTGGGAAGTATCTGTGATCAAGTTTTTAGTACGTTCTCACTCGTATGCTTTCCTTGTTGAAAGCTATGCTCAATCATTTCTTAAATCCTTCTGATTCAAGCTGTCCTCTTATTGTATAGTTAAGTTAACAAGTATGCCTTGTCTCTCTCTTGCTTCGCCAAAACCACTGATCAATGGATGAATATAATGAAGTTTCCCCTCAATGATTTGTTTGCCAACTCCTTCTCTCTTCCTCGGGAATTCTATAATCACTATTTTATTCTGAAAGTCGAAACATGGTCAAAGGTTAAGCAACCCTTGAAACCCACATTTATTTATTTATTTATTATTATGACTTAAACATAATTTAATTAAAAATGTACTCATCACTAAAAACCAGAGATTTAATCGCGTCTTTCAATAAAAATAATATAAATCTAAAAAGTCACGTATGGTTTTTCCCTTGTTCCTAACACGTTGATGCCGATAGAATTGAGGAGATATGAATACCTATAGCAGTGTAATCCATTACAAAACAGACGGAATATATTGACTGTTTGGGGTGCAATATATGTCGATGGAATCTCGATACAGCAAGAAATCTGAAACAAAATTATCAAAGTCAATAACATTAATATTTATGTATGTACGTAATGCAATCTTCTATAAAGAATTTGCTCAATTCCTGGGTTATGAACGTTATGTTTTGTCTCATGCGTCATCCTAAGAAGTACCGGTGCACATTTTAGTTTTCAATATAAAACATTGAGATATATACATTGAGTCGTATTTTTAAAAATGATTTTTAATGTGCCTTGTGTTTAAAAATAGGAACAAATACACATTACAATTGTCACAGAAAATGCATATCTGCTTCGAAGTTTTGTGCAATGTATTCAAAGGATTTATAAAAGAGTAGATGTAAGGATTTATAAAAGAGTAGCTGAACTGCTAATGAAAGTGCCCTGTGTATTGCTGCAACGTGAAGCAATATAATGACATATATAATGGAGTGGTTGAGACGGTGGCGAGTTCTTATCAGAACAAGTGCAGACTTAAACTCAATCCCTCTCAAACTTTAATGTTTACATACTTACCTAACATCTTAATAATTATCTTATTGCTCCAATCTCTCCCTTAAAAATTATATTTGTCCACTATCAGCCAAAAAAACATTAAATTTAAATATTTTCACCATATTAATAATTAATAATTTTATTGACAAAAAAGTCTTCAATCCTCAACTCAGCCGTAAAATTATTTGCCAAGGAAAATGTAACTCCTGAACTTACCCCCCCAATTATCCACTAGATCTATTCAAATTAGCAGACATATATAATCCTTTCTAATAATATCAAATAAAACATAATCATTAATTGTATTTTTATTTTATCTATATTTAATTGCTTGCTACCTAATCTTTACTAATATGTATAGTATCAATATTTTCTCCTCCTTGACCATTCTAAGATTATATTTTCATGTTTTTATAATTAAGAAAAATGCAATATTTATTCTTTTATTATATCCAAAACTTATTTTTTAAGGAAAATCTAATTTTTGACTTTAAAAACAAATCAAAAATAATATTAATAATAAAATGTTTAATATTACAAGTTTTAATAAATTTATTTTTTTAAAACTTTTGGTTTTCAAGTATCAATTAGCAGTCTAAAAGTATAAGATACATATTGAAAATTAAAATTTTTTTAAAATTTAAAAAATATTATTTTGATACTTTACAAATACGTATCGAAGAAGTATCGAATCAATATGATACGGATATCGATACGTGAGGTAATTTGAAATATCAATATTTTATAGCTCAGCACCTATAATTTTCAACTTGTAACTTAGTTTCTATTGTATCATATAACAATTCAATTTCTGCTCCTCTTTAAATCAATAAGCTATAAGGACCAACTTGTTTTGAACTAAAGTTCAGTTATTAAATCCATAATTGAAAGAAAGTTCATGGATTTAAAATTAAATTTCCCCATTTAGTGATTTCTCTGAAACATCTTTTCTTGTTTAATATTAATCCCTGTTATCACATACCCTTAACAATAAGCTTTTCGGCCGAACGAGCAGGGGTTTCGAGTTGGGCTTTGTTTTGTTTTTGGAAGAACTGAATTTGGCCTTACAATGACGATAGCAAATATGCTTCTGATTGGGCTTCAGCCGGGTCAATGATAAACAAGACACACGCTCCCATATCCGAAGAACGTGCCAATTTCACATTCCATTGGCGGTTGCTTGCCCGCTTTTCTCCCTAGAAATATCCATAATCCAGTGAGGGGATAAACTGTCGCCAACTGAAAGTAGACCCTCGTTCTTCTTACTAATCTCTGCAAATCTCAGCTTGATAACCGATGGCTCTAACCATATCCTCCACCGCACTGTCAACTTTTCCCAACAGGTATTTTGTCCAATCCCTTCATTTTCGACGGGCCTACCATTTAAACTATCCGATGCTCTCATCAACCATCATCTCATTCTGTTGTAGTGTTTCTTGTTTAGATACAGAGAAATACACCCGAAGGTTTTCCTCCAAAGAACAGAAACAAGCTTTCCCAGAAAAACTCTCACTAATGCCACCAAAGGAGTATCAAGCGTTTGCGAGCCACTCCCTCCGGATAGGCCATTGTGGTTCCCTGGTAGTTCGCCTCCCGAGTGGCTAGACGGCAGGTAATCAACGTGTTCATCCTGAGATATCATGTTTACTTTTTCTAGGGATTGTTCTTGAGATATCGAAGTTGCTTAATTTCATGTCAATCACAGTCTTCCCGGGGATTTTGGCTTCGACCCTCTTGGATTAGGTACGTGTTTTGTTGTTGCTGAATTGGCCGGGAGATTGATGGGGATTATTACGTTCCGCCATTAACAAGCTTCAAATTTCCCAGGGTCGGATCCGGAGTTTCTAAAATGGTTCGCTCAAGCGGAGCTCATGCACGCCAGATGGGCAATGCTGGCGGTATCGGGAATTCTGATCCCGGAACTACTGGAGAAGATGGGATACATAGAGAACTTCTCCTGGTACGATGCTGGTGCCCGAGAATACTTCACTGATCCAATAACGTTGCTCGTCGTGCAATTGGGCTTGATGGGCTGGGTGGAGTGTCGAAGATGGGCCGACATGATTAACCCGGGGAGTGTCGACATTGAGCCCAAGGTACCGCACAAGACGAACCCGAAACCGGACGTGGGTTACCCGGGTGGGTTATGGTTCGATCCTATGATGTGGGGGCGGGGATCACCGGAGCCAGTGATGGTGCTAAGGACCAAGGAGATCAAGAACGGTCGACTGGCGATGCTGGCTTTTGTTGGTTTCTTGTTCCAAGCTATTTATACAGGGGAAGGCCCCATCGAAAACTTGTTGGCACATGTTGCCGACCCTGGCCACGCCAATATTTTCTCGGTAATGCTCTTTTACCACTACTTTGATTCTAATACTCCGCTGGCTAGCCCCTCTACCCCTATATATACACTCGGAAAATAATGTGTGACTTTTTTTGTTTTTGGTAAACCAAATGTTTGTTTTTCCACATGCAGGCCTTCACGTCAAATTAGTGTGATGGACTGAAGAGGCGTTCGGTTTCCTTGGCGATCGTGCTTAATGCTAGTCCGCGAAGACTCGTCATTTGCTACAAAACTGTACTCTGTTTTATAGTCCGAGCTTTGTATTTGCACCCGAGGTTTTTAACATAAGAAAGGTCAAATTGTTATTTATTCATTTTCTTTACATTGTAATCAACAGACCAGTGTCATGTATGTGTGGTTCATAATTATTTGGGGAATAAAATTAAATGGATAATAAAGTCGTTGAAATCGGGGATCGGAGGAAATTTGAGGATATGGCTCCTGGTTAGGATTCCAAGTTAAGGCAGCGAGTTCATGGTGCAAGGAATTGGCGGCGAGCCTAAAATGAAGTTGACTGGGTCAAGGGCAACAGCTCCGATAATGTCGGAAGGAGGGGAAGGATGGCCTTAGAGAGGAATAGGCTATTGTTAGAAGGCGATGCAAATTTTGGGAGCTGCAGGATCAATGTGGTGTCCATGGCCAGACACAGCACACCAAAATGACGCAACTTGCTTTGGCTTCACCCTCCATTCCAACAAAACGAAAAAAGCAAGTCAAACAAAAGCCTCAGAGAAGTAGAATCTCTCCGGGCAGCGGTACATTTCAATGCCAACAACCTGCGTCTGTACCAGCCAAATGGCCGCTGTTCGACTCCGTCTTTTCTTCCCTCTCTTCTTCTTCCTTACACTTCCTGCTTTCTCTTCTTCTTCCGACGTTGATGCCCTCCTCAAGCTCAAGCAATCATTCACCAATGCTGCCACCCTTTCTTCTTGGGTCCCTAATTCCTCCCCTTGCTCTGCCCGATGGGCAGGAATCATCTGTGACAACAACATCATCACCGGTCTTCACCTTTCCGACTTGGGTCTTTCTGGCAAAGTCGACATTGACGCTATGCTGGAGATTAAAGGCCTTCGAACCGTCAGCTTGGTGAACAATTCCTTCTCGGGTCCTATTCCTGAGTTCAACAGAATCGGTGCTCTCAAGGCTTTATACTTATCCACCAACCAATTTTCCGGGCAGATTCCCTTGGATTTCTTCTCCTATTTGAACTCATTGAAGAAGATATGGCTTTCTGAGAACAAATTCTCGGGACCCATCCCCGATTCCATATCCCAGCTAGACATGCTCATAGAGATTCACCTCGAGAATAACGAATTCTCCGGACCCATCCCACCTCTACCGCGGAGCATCAAATCACTAGACATGTCTAACAACAAACTGCAAGGTCAGATTCCAGAGAGCCTAACAAAATTTGGCGCTAATTCCTTCAAAGGAAACGAGGGGCTGTGCGGGAAACCTCTAGAAAAGGCTTGCGACGAGAAGGGTGAAAGTGAAAATTCTTCCGGCCACGTCATGCTGATCATTCTCTTCATTATCTGCATGATCATCGCAGTGGCGCTGTTCATAGCAGTCAGGTCAAGGCGCCGTCTAGACAGCGACTTTAGCGTGCTGAGCAGAGAAAGCATGGACGAGGTAGTGCAAGTGCACGTGCCGAGCTCAGCAGATAGCAGAGAATCGGAGTCGAGCCGCAGGGGGACGGGTTCAAGGAGGGGTGCGGCGAAGAGCGGTAATGCGGATCTGGTCGTGGTGAATGAGGAGAAGGGCGTGTTTGGGTTGCCAGATTTAATGAAGGCGGCTGCGGAGGTTCTAGGAAACGGAGGGCTGGGATCGGCGTATAAGGCAGCCATGACTAGTGGGTTGTCGGTGGTGGTGAAGAGGGTGAGAGCCATCAATCAGATAGGCAGAGATTATTTCGATGCCGAGATGAGAGGTTTCGGGAGAATCAGACATGCCAACATCTTGACCATTTTGGCTTACCATTTCCGCAAGGAGGAGAAGCTCATCATCTCCGAATACATGCCCAAAGGCAGCTTGTTGTATGTTCTGCATGGTACGACCTACGAACTCAAATCAATCGCAACAAATTATAATATCTGCATTTCAACAATGGCAACCCCATTGTCTGATTATTTATGTTTCAGGTGATCGAGGGACATCTCATGCTGATCTGACGTGGCCCGTCCGTTTGAAGATAATCAATGGAATTTCGCGAGGGCTTCAATTCCTTCATTCTCACTTCTCTTCCCACGATCTTCCCCACGGCAACCTCAAATCCAGCAATGTCCTCCTCACCCAAGATTACGAGCCGCTCCTCTCAGATTACGCCTTACATCCGCTTCTCAACCCCAGTTCTTTCCACGCATTGTTCGCCTTTAAATCCCCAGATTACGTGCAATACCAGGTAATTTCCCAGAAAATCGACGTCTACTGCCTCGGAATCATCATCCTCGAGATCATCACTGGCAAATTCCCTTCTCAGTATCATAGCAACGGTAAGGGCGGCACCGATGTCGTGCAATGGGTCCTCGCTGCAATTTCCGAGAGAAGAGAAGCTGAAGTGATTGATCCCGAAATAGCGAACACCCCCCACTCCTTGGATCAAATGCTGCAAGTTCTCCAAGTCGGAGCCGCTTGCACCGAAAGCAATCCCGAACAACGAATTAACTTGAATGAAGCCATTAGGAGGATGGAGGAGGTAAAGGTCTGAAAAGCTCCATTATACGGATAGCTTAGTTCTTCGAGTTGGGTTTGCTTGCAGCGCATATGCAAGGTTGTATATATGAACAAAGGTTCAGCCATTCATGATTGATTTTTCGAGGGCATAGGCACCAATCAAACACAAGAAAAACACAGAGAACAACAGAGAAAGAGAAAGATCATGGTAGAGGGGGAGGAAGGTGGAAGACGGCTTCACAGACAAGATCGGTTCATAGAAAAATAATAGCTTGGTGTGGTGGCATTCTGGAAATGATCTCCGTTCATACATCAGAACTCATGTAAAAGGAATGGGATGCTGCAGAGGATTGAAACGCTGGTCAGGCAAAATGTGGCTCTCGGGGGCTTGTGATGAAAGAAGAAACAAGTTTCCTCACCACTCCCTCGACTTTGTAAAATATAAGCGGGGACAACATATTTCTTGTACAGGCCATGACAACGTCTTGTCTTGGCAAATTGTTTGTTCGACTCCATCTTCAATCCTTATCTCCTTCTGATAATCTGATCGATCGGATTTAGCAGTTTTCCTGCATCAAATCCGTGGATTGCTTCTGTTCGCCACCCTTTTTGTAAAATTTATTTGCTTTTGTTATTCTTCTCATTATTGGCCCAAAAAAAGTTGTTCTTATTAAATTTATTTAACTTCCATATGTTTCCGATAGGCTATCAATTTAAATGAATAAAAACAGGTTAAGGTAAGTACCGGTTAAAACATGTGCTTGAAGCTTTTCCTCTAATAAACGGAAATCTAACTGCTGTATTTTTTTAATCCCATGCATGCATTGCGCTCATCAAAAGTAGTTTAGCGAGAAACTGTTGCTGAAATTAAAGCCTGAAACAACAAAAATGCTAGGTGACATTTTTGGTGAATATATTATTTGTCTTGGGAAAAAAAAATCGTTTTGTTGATATCAAAAACAATATTACAGTCTCCAATATTCAAACAGCTAAACAATAATATCCTATATCAGACTTAAAAAAGCAGGAAAGACTATGACAATAACAAACTTGTATCAGAATAACAGTATAATAAATTTAAAAAAAAATTTGGAATATGCTGGAGAACTCAAGAGTAAAAAGAGCAAAAAACTAATTCAATATTATGTATTAAAACTCAAGTCGATTGACTTCGTTTCTTTTATTTGAACTAACAAGTCCCTTGATTGATAGGATGTAATGGATCATGGAGTCATCTGCTAAAAATGGATGCTATGTCAATTTTTAGCTGGCCTCCTGGCAATTATGGGATATTTTAGTTTACACATTAGTGAAATTAATAATGTTATAACTAGCATTAAAGTTGAATTGTAGTTTATCTCTCACAGCCTGGTCATAATTAATAATTGAAACATGAATATATTTGTCCCTTAAAAAATAAACAGCTTTGACATTAAAGGCAAAAAAAAAAAGAAAAAGAAAATAGAAAGTGAAATTGTTAATAAAGACCCAACCAAATTTAAGTTTGTTGAGAAGGACTTGAGAGAAATTTGAAATTGAGGTCATTTGCTAGCCTTAATTTAAAGTGTCAAATGACCATAATGCCCTAACCAAATTTTCTCTTCTCTCAATCTCTTCTCTTTGTTTCCATTGCAATCTCGGTGACTTCCTCTTCTTTCCTTATTCCTTTGTTGACTTCCTCTTCTTTCCTTAGTCCTTTGTCCTTCATCTTCTCTTTTGTACTTGATTATTCTTCTCCATCCTCATCTCCTTCCTCCTCTTTGAATTTGTGCGGAGATTGAAGAGTAGAAATGACATATTGATGGCATCTAGGGTTTCCCCAAATGTCAAAGGCAAGAATTCTAGTGTTGTAACTGCAAGCCTTGATAGTTTCACATATCACTTGGCCAAAAAAATCTCTTCTTTTGGACCTCATTAGTGTCCAGCTTGGTCCTAGTAGGTGTATTTTCATGTAATGGCACATGTCTTTTAAAGTAAAAGTTTTGTATAGTTTTTTGAATTAGTAAAATTCAAATTAAGCATACTTTAAGAAACTTCCTAGATTATTCTCTCAGAGTATCATATCTTCCGTTAATGAAAACTTTGGATTTAATTTTTTTCCATTGAATGATTCAAGAGACGAAGTCATGTAAGCAAAAAAAAAAAAGGAAATTAGACGTGGGTTTCCATTAGGCATCTCTAACTTGTTTCCCATAAAAAAGCAAATTAGAATTCAAGCACAGCTTAGACTACATATCTCGAACTTTTCGTCAACTTAGACAAAGTCATGATTCAAGCATAGCTGCCATTTTTCTTCAACTTGTTTCCTAGAAAAAAGCAAATTAGATAGTGGTTTCCATTGGATATCTCAAACTTGAGAGTATACTTTGTTTTTTAATAATAGACTATATGTTGATTTAACTATTAGACAACGCATATTTTTCTAGTGGAACAAGAATAAGTTGATGAATGGTCTTGAGTTGCTGGTGTTTCACATCTAGATATAACTATTTGTGCTTACTGGTTTGCAGAGATTTGAACTTCAATAACACCATGGGACAGATTCAAGGGTCACTTTTCAATATGAGTTCATTATCATACTTGTGATATGTATGACATGCCCAAGTAGTTAAATTATTTGATCATCTCTCATGCTTTTTAATTAGATTAACGCATGATTTGCCTTTCTCTAATTTCAGGCTTGGAAATTATCAGATTTGGGCAATCTCCTATGGGGAACTTTGTGGAAGCGTGTTTCTTATTTCTTAACTCAAGTTTCCCATGTAGTATACTTCTATTCTGGTCCAACTTTTCTACTTCCTACATCTTTCAGCTGCAAATTAAACTTTTCTCTGCTCATTTATTAGTTGAGATCACATTTTCTTTTGTTTGTAGTAATCCCTTCCATTTGTCTCTTTTATTTGTATGAAATTTTCTACAGATTATTTAGTGATGAGTCTTTATATGTCCTTTATGAATTGCTTACAAGCATAATTATTGTAGCTTCAAACAATATGCTTACAAGTCACTGGAGTGCAATCTCAAGAAGATGTTACCAAAGGATCAAATGATGAGATCAAGAGGAGTTGATTAATTTGCAATCATGCAAATTGTTTGGTGATGCGAAATCCTTGATCCGATTAAAGCAAATGAATGACTTGTTGGAGAAAAATCTGAAGGTTTTGAAGAATAAACACTACCCTACTTATACGGTTTATTTGTAGTTGATTATGTATTTTATCTTGTTTTAATGTAATTTATGTTGTCAAGGGATGTAAGACCATATTATTATGTAATGATAAATGAATTTGTAAATGCAATTTGTTGCTCCAAGTATTATCTTGCTTATAAATATGGTGCTATCTGAATATACATTGGAAGATCTCACTAAAGAAGTTGTTCACTATGAGTTGTTTCATATTTCATAAGTTTCATTGTGTTTTCAGAATAACCATTTGCATATTTGATATTTTGAGAGTTTAGAATAATAAATTGTAATTGCTACAAAATTCATATAAGATGTAAAAAGCTTATATTAATTTAGTGTCAATAAACTTATTCATCAATTTATAGCTTGTAATCCTCTCAAATATTTTCCCCAGCTTAATCTTCTAAGGATAGATATTTTTTAAAAATATCCATATGTATTTTTATGAAAATGAGGAAATTTTCAGAATAAATATACATTTGCATGTTTAGAATATCCATATACGTTTTCAGAATATTCATAGGTGTTTTTATAAAAAATAAAAAAAATTTAAAATAATTATTCATGTTTTCAAAATATCTATAGGCATTTTCATGAAAAATGAGTAAATTTTCATCATAACTATTTTTTAAGAGATGATTGCATTTCATTGAAAATGACTGCATATAAGGGAAGACTAATTGCCTATCTTTGATATCATTTGCACTTGTAACAAAATGAACATTTAAGAAAAATTGTTGTATATGACAATCAATTACTTGCATATATGGAAGATTTCTGCAGATGAGAGAAACTTATTGCATATATGAAAGACCTTCTGCATATGCAAATATATGAAAGAAAATTGTATTTCATTGAAAATGAGTCGTATATTGTAAAAGATAGGTTGCATATGCTTTTAAAGGTATCCGTAAGAAAAATTAGGAAGGAATATTCGAATATAAATAAGTGATATTCGAATATATGAAAGAAAATTACATTTCATTAAAGATCAACTATATATTGTGGAGACATGCTGCATATGCTTTCAAGGGTACCTATAAGAAAAATTAGTATAGGATATCCAAATATGCATAAATAATATTTAAATATTTAGAGTTGAATATTGATTGTATATCGTGAAAAAAAAAGTTGCATATACTTTGTTGAAGATGATTTGCATATATTATGAAAAAAATATTACATATGACATATTGATACTAAAATATCTTGTGTTACATATTGAAACTTAATTATTAATAGAGAAGGGCTTATTATCTATTGATAGTTATAGACCTTGTGAAATATATTGACAACGGATAACCTCGTTTAATTTTTATTTTTTTAATCACCTAGGGCATTATACCATTTAACTTTCACCAATTATTGACAGGGAAGGATCTTTTATCAAAACAATTCCAAGTCCTTCTGAGCAGTTAGATTTCTGGTGGAGTTTTTTTCAGCCGAAAATTGCGGGCTGCAGAGTTCAAATGATGAGCTAAGCCAAGCATTATTCGTCGCCACACCACATTTGAAAAAACATGTACTCCCTCCGGTCTCATTTATAAGTCCAATTTTAAAAGGTGTATTTGGTCCCATTTATAAATCACGGTGCGTCTTTTTAGGTAATATTTGAGAGGTATTTCCAAAAGAGAAAAAGTAACAGGACATTACTTTTTAGATTTGTTATATAGAGGCATGTTTGAAATTTTACTTACTTTTATTCCTTGTACTTTTATTGTATTGGTATTGATGAGATTGGTAGAAATGACTTATAAATAGGACCGGAGGGAGTAGTCAGTAGTCTCCAAGAACCACTGTACCAGCCAATTACCACCGCCACCATCAAGCGGGGGCTAACAAATAAAAGTAAAAATAACAATAAAAAAACATACACATTTCTTGAAATCTCATTTTGACCATCACCGTCATTCACGAACCAGAACCTGAGCTCTTGGGCGAGACAAGCATGGAGCCTGCACCTTTATCGGCATCAGAGATCGCGGCCAAGTTGAATCTGCAGCCTCATCCCGAAGGTGGGTTTTTCGTCGAGACTTTCCGTGATGGTTCGGTTCAACTTCTCAAGTCTCAGCTCCCCCCTGAATGTAGGTCCTTCTCTCCATCTTTCTAATTTCTGTATAATCATAACAATCTTTCTGCTTCTTCTCCATTTCACTGCCTTCATTCAATTCTATCCATTTTCATTATTTTTTTTCAGATAGAGTCGACCGCCCAGTGTCTACTTGCATATACTTTCTGCTTCCGTCTGGGAGTGTATCTCGCCTGCATCGTATTCCCTGTGCTGAAACCTGGCATCATTACATAGGAGAACCTCTTACGGTACACTCCACTATATTCATGAATTGCTCATTTATTGATCACTTTTTTTTTTGTTTCACCTGGTTCCCCACCACCCCCCTTAGGTTCTTTATACTGAATATGTTATCCCCAATTATTTGGTGGCAAAAGCACTTCCTGAATTTTCCTTCGCTTTTTCTGTCCCAGTCAAAAGATATTTCAGCTATCAGGGCCATTTTTCTTTGAACTGATCCTAGCTCACCCTCTTTTAGTCTATAAACATCACAAATGACATCTCAGAATTGATTCTTCTGACCAAACGCCTAAAGAATTTAACCTAGATCATATTATTTTTCGTTTTCACCTTTGTTCTTAGGTATATCAAGAAAGGTTTCTTGCAGGGCATATTTATCATAATAAGCTAATTAACTCAGCGCTCTCTCAAATCTGTACCTAGTTCATGGACTTTGTACCTTGGAGTGTTTGCAAGCATATCTTTCTGAGTTCACTCAGGTTTTTTGTTTTTCCTATTCCATCATTTAGCTTTGTGCACTTGTACGCTTACGAAATATGTAGTTAATTCGTATCGTTTTATATAGAAATTGAACGCATCACTTCTACGTCAAAACTCGCTCGCTTTAATCACCTCTTTGGAATTGGTAGGAATTACTAGGAACTTAACATAAAAGTACTGCATTGCTTTGTAATTCATCAAGTCTATCCATTTATGCAGTGTGTAGCCTTTAACTCCCATCGATGGGATATGATTCCGAAATATTAAACATATCCTACTAAAAAACATAGCATTCAATTTAAGGGCACCGGGATTAACTGAGTGTAATTGGGGGTAATTTACTGCTAGCATTCTGAAAGAAACAAAAGATCTTTAGGACTTCTTGTCTCCCAAATTTAATTTGATTCTTCATGTTCCCCTTCTCTTGATAACATTTTTCAATTTATTTTGCAGGTCGTGGAAATAAATGATAAGGATGGGAGTGTCAAGTTTACCTGCCTTGGATCTAATCTGGCTGATAATCAGAAACCACAGTACACAGTGCCCCCCAATGTGTGGTTTGGTTCATTCCCAACAAAGGATTTTGAGGTATCTCCAGATGGGTCTGTGCGAAGAACCCCTCCTAGAGATGGTGAGAGCCATTACTCCCTTGTAGGTTGCACTTGTGCCCCTGCCTTTCAGTTCCAGGACTTTGAGCTGGGAAAACGTTCTGACCTTGTCTCACACTTTCCCCTCTTGGAGTCTCTCATCAATGCACTCACATATCCTGATTCCTGAGCGAGTCACTGAGAATGTATTTTCATTTGGAAAGCTTGTGATATTGGTTGCCAGATATCAAACCTCTTGTCCTAGTCGGTTCCCTTCTATGCAGGTGTGGATTATTTCTGTATTTTATAAAATCTGAATATTTAGAACCTAACGAGACTCACATAATGGTTCTCCGTACACTTCTTTCAATATCACTTATTGGGATAATAGGGTATTGGAGACTCAAAATAGATCCTATTTTGAAGTTCCATGGAAGATTTGGTCGCTTTCTGTCTCTGTAGCAATATACGACTCTGACGACCTCGATTTACTTATCTGCAAGATTTCGTGGATCTTCCAATTCTTTTTGTAATTTTTAGACGGTCTGGTATGAGTTCTAATGTTCTATACACTTTTTTTTTTTTTTTTAAAGAAGGTCATCACCATTTTTTATTTTTAATGTCTAACTGTATATACACAACTCTACGTGAACCTAATATCAAGCAACAATGAATTCTTCATTTATTTCCAATGATGTATTCTCGTTCAAGCCCATTGGCTAAACCAACATTCCAAAGCAAACAGATCATTTGTAGTACTGCTACTGCATCTTCTGTAAGCAGAGAGAAATATTAGTAACTGTTTAACGATAAATGCTATTCTTGAAATTAACAGGATTATATTCAGTTGTTCAATTGAACAGCATAGACGGTATAAACTAATTCAAATGTCCAAATTGCTCGATTGAACAATTAAAATATCCGCTCTCAGTTTTAGCTGTCTCTAAGGTTGAAAGTTTATTTTTTAACCAAAAAAACAAAAGTGTTTCAGAAACACTCTTTTTTTCAAACCAAAACATAGACCACACATCTGCTTCCAAAAATTCCCCAATCCATGTAAGGCTTTTAAAAACACTATGGTCTATGTAATGCTTCCCTGTTCCCTCAAAGATTGGCATTTTATTTTATTTTCGGTGAAGATCCCTCAAAGCTAGGAATCCTACCAAAAAGTCTGTTGTTATAAAGAAAATCACTCAACCGGGGCTAAAATCTTTTGCATGAAATTGCAACATGCTTTCTGGCATGCTTGAGCTGTAGAGGCTCTTGATTTTTCAAGGTTCATCCTCCAATTTGTCACATTATTCCTTGGCTTATTCATACACCCGGAATTGTTAGTATTTGGTATAGATCAACTTGCATTCTGCTTCAGCTATCACTTCAATAAACAGAGTTGTGCAGAATCAGAATATGAGAAGAAGCCATTTATATCTCAAGAACAATATCTGCAACCAGGAAATATACACATATTCAGAACAGCATCGTTACTATGTATCTTGCCCTCTTTTTTGCCCTCCTCAAAGAATGAGGGAACTCTCTGGGGAGAAAAGGGGCAAAATTGCAAATAATTAAAAGGACGTAAATGTACGCTCAGTTACTGGCAAAAATTATGCAGCCATAGATGTTTGTGTTCAAGCACCTTAAGTACTCGAGCATGCAACATAAATTTACATGAATATAATAGATTTTGGTTGGTTATATTTCTTAGGGATAAAGAATAAATATAATAGTAGTACTTACATTCAGAATCTGTCTTGACCCATTTACTGCCATTGTCTGCAGCAGGATTGTTGAATTCGTCGTCATCATTGTCAGATTTGGTCATCTGTTTGTCCTTGAGGTGCTTCTTTAAAACCATCGTTGAACTTGAACCATGGGGATGTATCTTCTTATTGAGTATTGCCCTAAAAATCTGTAGTCAAAAACAGATCAAAGAGTGAGATAATCAATCCTAAACGAAGTATCTTATATATAGCTAAGTTAAGGTCTAAGAGGACGACAACACTGGCGTCACCTTCTCCATTCTGCTCTCTGTGGAGAGTGGATCTTTGAAAAAGTGTGTTCGTTGAAGATTACTTCTGCAAACAAACATCTTCTTGAGAAGAAAAGTGAGTGATTTCTTGCCAATTGCACTCTTGTTATTCTCCAAACAAAGATCTTTTCCCCTGCAGGGAATTAAAGTGCTGTGTGGGAATAATGTCTCTTTCTTTTCACAGTTTGAACAATTATTCGTGTGATCAGCGGAGGATTCTTCCCGCAAACATATCTGCAATGCATTCTGAAAATTGCCTTCTTCTTGTTCGTCAGGCGTAGGGTCTTGCACGCAATCTTGAGAGCAGGATGAGTCCTCTGCAATAATTCTTTCAGAATCGTCCTTCAAACCGTTGTTTCCAAAGGTCCCAATTGTAAGGAGTGCATGTGGCCAGTCACTGAACTCGTCTTTGATAGGTTCATCCGCTACAAAATCTGGTAGGAAAGTTAATCATCAAAATTCAAAACCTTAATCCTACCTGCCTTATATTGTGCATATCATCAAAATCTGGGAAAAAGGTTCATTCAATTGAGACAGATACTAGTATGATAGAAAGAGTGGAGAATGCGTACTGGTAGATGAAACAGAGTCTGGTTTGTTCTTCGCCTTACTGCCATTGAGCTTGTTGCGCATCCAATTTAGTAGCTGCAAGTAAAAGAAGAAACGACAGATTTGGTCAAGAATTTAGAAGAACTACCAAGTGAATAGGAATTGAGTAGGAAGAGAAATCAAAATTGGGTTACCTTCATTTTGAATGGAAGAAGCTAATTGGCGTGCCATAAGACAGTTAAGGGGTGAGATGCGGAAGAGTATAAATAGAAAGGGAGGTGGGGTGTGGTGTGGTTTGAATTTTACGGCCAACCAACCAAGTTGATGCCTCTGGTTCAAGTTCCCAAACCCAGCCTTTTGCCGCCACTTTCTCTCTCGTCTTTTTCTTCGCTGCATCATCACAAATTATACATGGGCATCTATAATTTTAAAATATATTTATAGGGTTATAAATATATTTCTAATATTTCTTGGTGAAATATATATTTTTGATATATCAGTCTAACTAAAATATGTAAATATTTTTAAAAACTGCACGAATCTAACAAGATTATGTGTAGAGAAAATTAAAAGAATGAAAAAAATTGCAGTAGGGTTTAAATAAGTTACAATATTTATAGTCTAAGAATAGTATCTCCTTAATTAGTTAATATTGATTTGATGATTAGGATGCCACTTGTATTGCAGAAAGTTAAAAAAAAAAAATCACCTTTTAGTGAATATTTGCTATAGTCTATAGATTTTGTGTTGCATCAATACTACATAATAATTGATTGAGTTTTATGTTAATTATGACTGATATATATTTTAGAGTTTAAACTAAAACCTCTTAATGTAACTAACGAAGAAAAATAACTACAGTTACACACAGAGTGACTAACGAGATTTAAGGGGTCATGTGAGTCACGTAGACTTTGATTTCACAAACTTAATATGGTGTCACGGACATGTCTGGATTCTGACAGGCCTATCTCATTTCCCACAAATATATGGTGTATAGAAGTTATCATTGCTTTAAGCTATTTTGTTCTTAGATATTTGTTAACATTGCATAATTCTTCATTGAATATGAGCGCAGCACAATACAGTCTATACACGCACGATAATCAAGTATCGCTTTGGTTTAATCAATTTTTACATGAAAAATATTTAGATATACTCCTTTTCTTAAAAAATATAAAATAATTTTTATATATTTAGATATTTAAAAATATAAAGCGTTTTTAATATTTTAAGGTATAATTAATATACTTTTTTTAAAAATATCTCTAATAAATAAATTATTTTATATTTATTTTAAAATAAAGTACTATATTAAATAAAAATAAACATAAAAATATAATATTAGTTTAAAAATAATTAATTACTTTATTATATAATATAATTTAGTTAAAATTATTTTTTATTTTTAAACGAAAGAAGTAATTTATTTATATTTTTAATGATTATTCACTTTCCTTTTGAATGCATGGCCTTGTTTTATAACATAAAGATGAGGGCCTTAAAAATTATATTTTGTTTTGACTTCTGTCATGATTATTATACTTAAAGCCACTGAACGTGGCTATGTGAAAAAAGAATATACTTTTAAATTTTAATTCTTAATTTTTTAATTATTAATCTGTATTTAAATGTTGATTTAAAATAACTCGGTAAATAATTTTGTATTTTATAATTTTTTTACTCGCAACAAGTCAATCACTATAGTTTTTGGACTTGAAAGAATTCAATCTCTAATTCGTTCACTAAATAAGTTACAAGGACATTGAGTTATTTCAATCAAAGCTGAGAGACTAAACCAATAATTAAAAAACTCTAAGAACTAAATGTTGCATCTTCCCTTGCTATATATTTAAGCTAGTGCATTTTAAAAATTATATAAAATATGATAAATAAGTTGCATTATTCACTATTTATGAACAAGAAGTTGAACTTTTTATAGTTTCTGCAACATTAAATCAATATATATTATAAATTTTATTAAAAATTGTGTTATCCGGCGTTATGAATAATTAAAGCAGTTTATTTCAGACTTTATGCAAAATATACAAGAGAATAACCCAATATTACAACATTAATCATTTAACCTGTTCTGAGCGAGAGAAGGATACAGGAGACACTGACATGTTCTGGAACATTTCATTTGCTTCAGCGTTATTATGGAGTATGCATGAGAAGTTGTGGTCACTTCTATATAGAATCCCTTGGATCATATTTCTCGCGCACATGACAAAAGAACCCAAGACCTGATCCATGCATTCTCGCGCCACGCATATATGCTTTTCTTTTTCTTTAATTTTTTGTTTGATATTGTTTAATTTCACTTGAAAGTGACAATTTTAATTTACGCAGAAGTTTAGCCAGAGGTGAATTGCTGTTTAAAAGCAGCCAAGCATGTTTCAGAAATGAATGGTTAACAAAATTTGTGAGCAGGGTTTGCGGAGGGTGTCTCTCACTAACCGGACCCCTGCGTTTCCGCTGTGTCGCATCACCACCGCCATTCCTTTTAAATACCGAAACCGGAAATCCCCTTACATGCTGTCTCATTCTCAACCACCATCATGGTATTCATTATATTAATTAGCATCTGCATACTATAAAACACTTTTAATTCAAGTGAACATCCATATTCCAGAGTATGTCAATGGCTAAAGTGAGGTTTGCTCAATCATGTCTGGCAAAAAAAAAAAAAAAATCACAGAGATCAAAAGATTATGTAATCAAAAGAATCAACTAACCATCAATTCTGCACTCTTTTTTTTTTCTTTATATATATATATATATAAATGTCACTTCTAACTTTTTTTTACTTTAATTTATAAGGCATTTTTTAATAAAATTACACAAGCTAATTAAGTTCGTTAAATATAACTTATAATCTTATATTTTTTATAAACTTCAAAAGAAAACCTTTGTTAATAAGAGAGTGAGTAAAAAATTTATTTAAAGAATGAAATAATGAAGGATAATATTAGAATAATAATTGTTAATGATTAATGATCATTTTTTGTGAAAAAGTCTGATATATTATGGGAAATCAAATTACATTTAAAAATATCTTATAAATTATAATAAAGACAATACCTTACTGTTTACTGAAATTAAGGAGATGTAATTAAATTATTGATATTGTACAAAAGGAAAGAAATTTCTTAATATATCCTAATCAAATGTATTAGTTTTTCAAAATATTTTCTCTTTTATATGTTACTTTTTATTCTACACATAAAAATTGTAGAAAAAAATTGAAAAAAATTAATTAATAATTACTCACTCATTTTAAATTATAAGACAACTTAAAAAAATTATCCTAAAATATAAGATAATTTGAAAAAAATAAAATTTCAACATTATCCTTCAAGTGTTGAGAGAATTAAAATGATATTATAGCAAAATAATTAAGTATGTAGGGATATTTTTAAAATTTTATATTGTTTTTATGAAAAAGCAAGTTTGTGTAGTGTCATTATAGTTTTTTATTGCTGTTAAAAATAGGGAACAACTGGCCAGGAATGGGGAGAGAAAAAATAGGTAAGATTAACGAAATGATATCACATTTTAACTCAAAAGCTTAAAAATTAAGTTTATAGATACTTTCTCTTAATTATATATTAATTATTAAGTTTAATTTTATTCAATATAAAAATTTTTATAATCTTAAGTCCAATTAGATAGCTTAATTTTATACAAAATTAAAAAAATTATGTCATACCTTAACTTAAAATTTGAAAATTTAAGTTTATGGACTGCTTTTTTTATTACATATTAATTATTATATTTAATTTTATTTGATGTGAAATTAGTTTTAAGTCTGTTTATATTTAAACAATTTAATAATTTTATTTTATTTAAAATTATCTTTTGGATGGAGGGAGTAGTTTTATTAAAAATCATCAGTTCCTTGTAAAAACTAAAGTGATTATATATATAATTAGATGGGGTTAATAAAAAAAAAAAAAAGGTCAGGTGAAAAGTAAAACTCGCACTTTGATGAAAAGCCAAGTCGAGAAACTAGATCCAGAAGTATCTGTGGCAGAGTGATTCTTTGATTTTCTTCGCAGATTAGAAAATCCAAGGTTTGAGAAATCAAGCATGAAAAATCATGATAATAGGGAATGGTTCAAGTGGTGCAAACACAGGACACGAAGATTGGGTGTCGCTGAGGAGGCGGCTTCCAGGAGGTGGGAGGCACGTGAATGTGTTGGCGATAAGAGTAACGGAAAACGAAGCCATGTGAGGTGAAAGGAGGGCCACGTGTCAAATAAAAGGCGCGAAGATCAAAACACTCGGGCCCTACCAGACCAACACGTGGCTCAAAGGTGAAGTCACTGAGATGCTCGTCATGGATGGTGACATGCAAATATACTGGAAGAATTACATCCAAAAATCATTTAAGGATACTATTCACAGGTAAAATCAATATAATATATATTATTATTAAAATAGAGACGTAATTTTTTTTAAATAACATTTATTATTAGTTTTTATTTATAAATAATTTACTTAAGTAATTTTTAATTGTGATTTTTCTAAATATCTATCACACTCACTTTGATTGTTGATTGTTGATTATTGCTCAAGATACGCCATGCAACACTACCTTTTCACTCCCTATCAAGTTATCATCACTCATTTGTGCCCTTCATTGATTTTCTTGATTATTTCTCATCCATTCATTTAACTCATTATTACAGCACTTTTGAATCTTAATTGCGCAATTAGTTTTTTTTTTTTTTATCTTTTCGTCTTGGGACCAAGCTCAAAGCCGTTACTGGATCAATCCTTAATATATTCTAGTTTGGATACTGAAATAAACTACATAAAACTTGGGTTGGCTAAATCCTTTTATACAATATCGAACTTACTGTTATATTTGATATCATGATGCAATGATTCTGGTCTTTACTCACAGCCTCCCATATGTTTGTCATTGATTTTGATTTTGATTTTAAGGATATTCTAGTTTTGATCAAATTAGATTTCATGTTGTTACCTATTTGATTTCATTGATTCAGTTCTATGATAATTTCAGATTTGGATTTGTCTTTCATCTTGAATTATCTGAAGCTTGTTTGTTCATAGCCACAAGTTCACAATTTTTCATCGATCTGGATTTCCGAGACAGCCCTAAACATTCATAGATTTTTATTTCTAGGCTGTTATGTTGCTGAATATAGTGGATTGAAATCGGAGAGGGTTTAAAATGTTCGTAAAGAATGGTTATCACAAAACCAGTCAATCTCTTTTTTTCTTTCTTTCTCTAAACGTTATATCATCTTGAGCTATAATTACATGGATGTAATTCATCCATTTTTCTATTTCATTGATGTCCTGTGCAATGGGAGGATATGTACTTCGTCTGTTTAAAAATATAAAGTATTTTTAATTCAATATCACATCTCAATAAAATATTTATC